TGTAACACTATTTTTGAGACTTCCGGTAACAAGAACATTTGATTCTCTCGTAAGTACTGAATGTGGATTCTTTTACTGTAATACTGGTGACAATAATATCCTACATGATCCTTTTAATTTCAATATTTAATTATTAATTTTTTGACTTTTATGAATCCTGAAATGAAATTCTATGATTGATAATATTTTAATAATCTTGAAATTATTGTGAACAGAATTTTCTGAGTTAGGCTTTAACCTTTGACCCTAATTGGAACCATTTAAAATCACTGTTGACACACAAATATGAAATCATGTGACTCTTAAAGTCAACATAAAGCCAGGTCGTTATAAATAGCCTACGTAAATACAATGCGATCAGGAAATAGACACATAGTCATTGTCAAATGACGTATAATTGGGTGTTTAATATTCTGAGTAATAATGTTTTTAACCGCAATAAGTCATGTAGCATGGATTAATTAATGTAGACTGAGATCCTTATGTCAGTGCTACACTTGATCAGGAGCATACAACAGGTAACTTTGAGTTCATTGAAATTTCTGATCGGTTGTTTATACTGGTACTGATATTTTAGGGGGGTGTTGTTCATATGAATGCCTGCAAGGTTGTCAGCATAGTGCCTAGGGTTGTATGATATTTACCATGAAGCTTTATTAGGTGTTACTAATCTAATATGTTATAAATTTTTTTACTAACATCTTAATCTTAAAATAGTCCATAATCTTAACTTTTTTTATTTTTAATTTTGTCACAATGCAATGTCCAATGAAAGGGATGTCATTATTTTCTTGTTGTACATTACAAAGATGTTTTTTTTTTTTTTTATAATCAAACCTTCAGACTGTCCCAAGGTATGATGTATGAGCAAGCTGTGTATAAACGTGCTTGACATATGTGACCACCCTTTCAGCAATGTTTTTGCCGATTTGTCTTTGTTTAGAGACAAAAACAATAATTAGCATTCTGTCTATTTTCTTTCAATTCACTAAAGTCAAAATATGTGTTTTTGTTTCAACAGTACCATCTCAATATTTTCCAAACAAATATCAAGTCAAATGTTATGATTTAATAATCTCTTAAAAGATAATTCAACCTCCTTATAAAACCCACTCGTCTATAAAAACCATTTAAATGAAGTCCCTTGGCTGGTCGCGATACACAGGTGATCACTATACACAGAAATTTTTTTAAAAAATCAATGGTATTTGTACAAACTATTTTTCATAAACCATAGGGTGGGATTGTTTTTGTTATGTAAATCAGTCTGCCTCTATGATATATCAGGCAGTGCCTTGCTTGCTGTCGCTTCCTTCTTACATTCATTTGGTACTTTGTTTATAAGATCCTATCGGTTGTTGATGACTACAAGTCTAAAGTTCATTTGGGCTTACTTAACTGATCATGTACTGATGAAGTTACCATATTTACACTATTAGAAGCACATCTCCACCTGGGGTATACAAAAAACAAAAATTACATTTACTGTGTAGGCGAGAACAAGTATCTGGGTCATAGGGTCACAGGGGACAACAACCACCAACCTCACTTATTTCGTGTCAGACCTCACTTACGCATCGGGAAACTTATGAACTGCAGCTATGTTAAATTTAAATGTAAATTAGAATAATTATCTTTCGAAATGAGTGCTGATTTGACTTTTTACAAAACAGCGAATTCTATTGTTTTCGTTACTAGATAATAATAATATGAACATAATTTACAGAAGTACAGTAAATATGGCATGTTAATTTACTGCCCTTGTATGCGTATAAAGATTTTAAAATGTTGTTAGAATTTTTTAAAATTTATTTTTGGAATATGTTTTATCTTATAATGCTAAATACGTACATAATGGGTTCATTTATTTCTACTAACACGAGGATGTCACACAAAGGACGAGGATGTAACAGTTGTCAGTTTTAGTTGTTTGTATACTAATTACAAAGTTAAATCACTCTTTAGTTTCCTGCTGTCATGTTGTTGGTCACCATGGCAACAAATGTATAAACTTCCTGTTGATTATTTGAATTTATTGATTTATTATGTTATGTTGTCGAGTAGTATACCATACTTGTTTTATTGTTTCTTCCTTTAAGTAGACCACATTTGTTCTATTTAGTAGTGACTGCTCCTTTAGTATAAGTCAGAATGACCCTATTGTCGCATTTAACATCAAATACTCAAAATCTGCTAAAATTATGAATTTATTGAAAATTGTAAAAACGTTTTGCACCGTAGTGCTGAGGAAAATCTCAGCTGTTATGTGATGCTGTCTTGAGAACTATACGTGTATTTTCTACATTCTGTTACTTGTTTTGGGTTTGTTTGTTTGTTTGTTACTTGTTTTGGGTTTGTTTGTTTGTTGCATACATGTATTTTTCATAAAAAACCCACATGACATGCAGTTGTGTTCTGCTATATTGTCTTCTCAGAAACCTTGAACTATGATCGACCCCACTACAATAATAATTTGATCCTATTCTAGCTTTATTAAAGCTGAATGGCATTGCCTGCTGACGCCATTTTTTCCACTTATTTCAGCTGTCTGTGTGTCTTTCATGTAAACACTGTGACACGTGTGTTGTATAGGTTGCGTGGGACCTATACGTACCATTTCATGATAGAATGTTTAATTATCAAGTTCAATCAGATCATTTATCAACTCAATTTAAAATGAGACCCGAAAATATATACATGTCCCTTGATCATCATTATATTCAATTTAATAATAAGAAAAACCTACCTGAGAATCAGAGCGACTTTGTATAATTGCTACTCCAGTTTTTTGTTATTTTTTTGTACAACCCTGAAAAGTTTTGCAGTAATATTTTCTTAACTTTTTCACCACCAGGCCTTCTCACCCAAATTTTTCTGCCCTTTTTACTTGCATTATTCAATATTTCTGGAAATGAACCTTAATTTTGAAGCCAACGGTAACTGTGGTAATCAAAAACACACGGCTTTTATAATTTGTGTAGTTGTAGCGGTATATGCAAAGAAATTTTCATGTATAATTTATAGTTTTTGATATTTCAATAATATAGGTAGCAAAAATAATTGCAGTATGATGTTTATTCATCGTATCTATTCTATGAGTACGGTAGTATGATAGATGTGTGTGTACATTCACGTTAATGTCTAATCTTATAGCATGGTAGAAGTGGATTACAAATTTAAATGATGTCAAATTGCACAACCATTAATTTCAATAATGGCTCAGTAATAAAACATAACTCTACCTTTTCTTGATTTGACAAGTTGAATTGATGACTACTTGAAGAGCCAGGCATTTTTAAAGATTTATGAAAATGAGTGTAAAATTTTATTAAAATAATTAGATCTTGAATTATTATTATTCAAAAAATATTTGAGCAAGTGACAATTTTTCAAAAATAAAAATAAAGTTTTCATAATATGAGAAATCAAATTAATTTATTGAATTTGATTATTTTAATAGTGATGTAATTTTTAAAGGAAGTAAGTATTGAAAGTGAATAGTGTAAAGAATGCAGCTGTACTAATAATAAAAATTAACTAAACTGAGGTTAATAATTAGAATTATTAAAAACAGAACTTTTTTCTTCAGTCTAAAAAACACCTTTGTGTTCCCCAAGTACAGCCTCATTCCATATATTTAACGCCATGCAGACACGAAGGTAGGACAACAAACATGTCTTTTAGCGAGCATGTTATTTAATAGTCTTACTTACTAGTATTTTAAGATGTCGATAATTCAGTATTGTCCGCACTTTAGCTAATGTACTTCTCATTCAACCAGATTTGATAAAATTTTGCCAAGAAATTTCAAAGTGTGCTTTGATACATAACGCGTTTCATTCGATTTAATTTCATTCAATTGTTTGTTTTATCAGAAGAAGTAATACTAATACTGTTTCTTAGATTCTTTGTTTGAAGTGTTTGATTTCAATTCTGTTTTTTAATTTACCTTTTTATTTTTAATTGTTTTTAAAATTTTTATTAATTTTAGAACAAACATTAAATTTATTTTTAATTAAAAAAATCATTAGGGACTTTTTTAAATAATACCAAAGATAGTGATTTGTAATTATTAGCATATTCATTATTTGTTTAGATGAGGACGATAATTGTATGAAGAATTGTTATATAGAGTATCGTAAATACTGTCTTGTTTTAAAATTGAAACAAACGGCAATAACAGCTAAATCACTCTGAGAGAGACATTCTTACACAAAATGACAAATCACAGTTGTTCATCAAACCCTTGACTGATTTATCTCCTGTCCCCATTTTTGTGCAACATTTTGCTACATGTATGTCTTTGTTAATTTTGAACCAAATGTCATTCATTATTTATGAAATGAAAAAGTTTGGACATTTAGTCAAAATAATTTATGTATCAATATTTGTGTATCAAGTATAATTTAAAATAATTTAAAATATTGCCAACATACATACTTCTCATAAAAATTTGGAGATTTCTAAAATAAAATTTTCGTCAAAGAATTTGATTTTTTGTTTGTAAATAAATATTTACAAACTGTCTGCTGTTGTGACATTGTGTAAATACTGTATCAAAGTCAATGTCTGCATATTTCAGATGTTAAGTATGTCAATATCATCTGATGTCATCGCTTTGATTAGATCAGTGATGTCTGCATGTGACAATGACAATTACAATCAGTCTGCAGATATCAGTCACCAATACAGCACGGAACACTGTGCTCTAAATTTGCGAGACTGATATCTTGATTTTGACAAAAAAACATGACCTGAAAGCCTTTCCAGCTGCGAACATTTCTTCATGCAATTAATCTAGCAACTGAGCTTTCCTCTTTGTGAATAATTGCTCAGTAAGTTCAGTTCAGACAGATTTCTGTATATTCTCCATATCACCTAACAGCTACTGTATCTAAAACACAGAATTCATAAACATTTGTCTTTTGTGAGACGATCAACACCCCCATTTATGCAGGCGTTATGTTTTATTTAATTTTTTAATTCTTCATTAATTTCAGGTTCAAAACACAGCCAATTGAAAGTCCGGAAAGTGCAACCAAGAAGAGACATTTACATAAATATTCTCTGGATCCGGAACGACACAAAACTCAACCAATCACAGTGAAGGAAATAGAGGCTGTGCAGATGCCAACAGAAGGGATGCCGAAGTCATCATCAATAGCAGACAGGTATAGAAAACAATTCCATACTTCCCTATCATGTGATGCTATTCAACCAATCGCATTCATGGAAAATTCGGCACAACGAAAGAGATAAAACAAAATGACATACTTGGCTTATGAAACAAGAGTAAACTTTCGTATTAACCTTTTCACCACCAGTTCATAACAAATTCACAAAATAGTCCTGTTTACAGTCTGCACTTTCCTTCAGAAGATTGAGGCAAAAATGGCCAAATTTTTTTGAGTAAAAACTGAAAATTGATTCAAATTTTGTCTGTTGGCTCCAAAATTGAGGTTTATTTCCAGAAATATTGAAAATATAGGAAAAAAAGTGCAGGAAATTTTGAACGATAAAGTCTGGTGCTGAAAATGATAAGTGTAGTCGATCATGGAGTATATCTCACTATTTCAGACTTGCTGCATTGAAAAAGAATGGTGATGATAATTGGAAAAAACGAATCGAAAAGTACGATGACTCTCCAACGACGAATTCCAAGGAATCAGTAGGCGAAAATGGCACAATAAACAACATGGACGAAGTGAAACTACGAGATAAGGTAAGAAGACAATGATTTTAATAATAATTTGATGTACATGTGTAACTACCATTCTACCATTTTGTTATTTTTGGGTGTGGCTGACAATTTGGTATCTTACAAGTGGAACACTTTTATGTATGACAGTGAAAACAAGTTTTGTGTGTGAAGTAATTCAATGTAGGTTAAAGCAGTTAATATAAAACCAATTAAGTGCTGGACAGTTGTTAAAATTCGGCTTTTAAAAGGTTACTTATAGAGCGGGTGCTTTGAACTTTTGTTTTTTGTGCCATAGCTCTCTGGTTTTGAAATCATGCCAAACACAATCACCTCAGATTTGATCGTTCTCTTTACTTACTAATGGAGTATTAAGTACAGGAAGTTTTAATGCCTTTTGTAACGCCAGTTTAATTGGTGAAATAAGAGATATTGTGACCTAAATATTGTGGTCGCTATAGAAATGTGGTATTGAGGGAATAGAAAGTAGATTAAAATATTAAACAAAATGCCAATGCCATTAAAAAGTCCAGTGCAGTGTGGTTATAACTTTTGTTCTAAAATACACCATGGATTCATTGTTTTTTCAATCCACTTTCTTTAACATTACAATGTCCTGGACAATACTTTATTTCGATCTTTTTTTTGCTAATGAAATAAAATTATTGAAATTACTTTATTTGCTTTTTTATGATTTTATAAACAAAATTACGCATGTCATTTTCAATCCAAGTTATGGTTTGCAGTTCTGGCTCTAATAAAGCACAAGTTCATGTTGTAATCATAGCGCCCCCCACGAATGAAGTAAACTTCTGAATCTTTGTGTGAGGGCGCTATGACTCAGGTTGCATGAGCTGCCATAATTTCTTTACATGTCTGAATACCTTGACTTGCAGTCCAACCTGTCAAATGGAGGACGACCTCAGAGTGTTGCTGAACGTTTACAACAGTTACAAGAATGTGAACATACGTGGAAAGACCGAGTAGAGACGCACGATGCCCATAAACATACGGTCGCTGGCAAGCTGTTAAAAGCTGGTAAGGAAGTAACTCCTGCTCGGGCGCGGCGACCAAGGAAAGCACGGCCGTTATCAGGATCTTTCAAATGTAAGTGATTCAATAATTTTATGTGTAGATTTTTTTTTCACCTCAAATTGAACACAAGTATTTGTTCAATTCGTATGATTTATAAAAAATGTGTTTTCAAAGTAGTCTCATAAATAAGTTTTGTTTTGTCTGCACTTGTGAAATTGGAAATTATTAAACTGAATATTCTGGTTATTAAGTTAATGTACTGCATTTTTTGTAGATTTATTAATTAATTTTATTGAAGTAAAAGAAAATTTACACATAAGATAAAAGTTCACAATAAACAGTCCAGGCATAAATAATCTGTACAGCAATGTTAACAATTCTACCTCCCACAAACCACTTTAATGTTGGACAAAACAAGTCGGTGAAAATAGAAAAATTTCCTAGTAGTAAACATTTTTCTGGAATCCAGCAACACAGGATGTCAGTGACTTCAGCGAAATTTTGCCTCCAAAAATCTCATAAAACCATATTCTTTATAAAATGTTGATCAATTTCTGAAGCCAGTTGGAAACTACCTATGTCTGTTTACGCCCAAATTATCAACAACAAGAAATATTGAAAAATGTCACTAAAATTTTGGCTGGAAATATTATTGGACTTGAAATATTAATTACATTATATAAAAACACCTGACATCACCTTTTAGTTGTATATTTTGGGGTTCATATATCATTCTTTTTCTGATTTAATGTTATGTAATCTATTGTTTATTTTATTGGTGTGTGCATGAACTTGTATTAATCAAATGCAACTTTCGTGTTTAATGATCTATGATAATTTTATTAATTTTGATGATTTTGTTTTTTTAATAGTACCTGAAGGAATGCTGGAGGGTAAACCAAAAGAGGGGCAGAAGCAGTCTCCACTCGCTGCCAGCAAATCAAAGGAGGAGATTGAATCTAAAATATATGGGAGTAGCAGCTCCACTACATCGTCTGATTTCACATCAGAGTCGGAATTAGAACCTCAGCCGACTGCCGTGGAAATACATCAACCAGACAATGAGGATTTCACAGAATTTTTCAAAAGTTCATCGGTGACTGTGGAGAAAAGTTTTTCAAAACTAACGACAAAAAGTGAAACAATTCATGAGGTTGATGTGTCAGACTTTGATTTATTGGCTGGTGCTGCCAAGCCAATGCTCACACCACTTGGAGTACAAAAACGGACTGCAATGCCACAGAGGCGTGCTAAGGCTTCGAGTAATCCATTGAAAACATTAAAAGCAAGACCCGACGTGAAATCGGAATATACTGAGATTAGGGCAGGTCATGCTGAGCGTGAATTCAAACGAACAAAGAAGGAGCAGAGTAAGTAATTAACGACATACTAAATCCGAACTACAACGTCATCTCGTGATTCTGCCTTTGCAACATATAAACATGTACATCACTACATTGTTGCTATGCATCTTGTTGCTTTCCACCATTTTTATCAAAAATGCATTTCTACAGTCCATTTTAGTTGTCATTCTAATTTCAAATACATGTAAAGTATATCAAGAGATGGAGATCGAACCTGTAAACATTTTGTAGCATTGAACTTGTCATCGAGATTCTTATTTTGGAGACACCGAGTCTTAGGTTTTATTAGCTCCGCTGTCGACTTTGTCAAGCGGAGCTTATCATATGAGTGATTGTCCGTCGTCCGTGTCAATGTTTTACTTTTTCGACTTCTTCTTGAAAACTACAAGCCTGAATGCTTTGATACTTGGTGTATATGTACCTTGGACAGACCTCTCTAAGATTTGTTCATTTGGTGATGATACCTTTAATTCTCTAATTTTGATGAATATTTTTGTCATTTTTGGTAAAAAGTGATATTAGTTGATTTCTTTTTGAAAACCACAAGTCTGATTGCTTTATTAATATACATATTGTTCATTTCTAATGGTATCTTCAGTTCTTTAATTGAAATGTGCATTGCTAACAGCGGAGCTATCTCAGCCGACAGGCTGCTTGTTATGTAGTTGAATGTATTAGCAAAAATTTGATTGTCCAAGTATTAAAGAAGGACTACAGTAAATATCTCCTTAACAGTCTGTGGAACACACTGATATGAAATGGTTTTCTTCCATTATGCGTCACCATAAATTAACATACCCGGTACTTTCTGTATGACTATTTCAGTTGAGAAAGAATCAACATTTGCTTCCAGTGCTCTCGCTGGCCTTGCAAGTACGGAAGATTTCAGCAATGTAGCTCTTAGAAAGACATCAGATGTTCTAGCTGCTGACCAATCAGCTCTGTTATTACCATATAAGGACGTTATGCTTTTACAAATCAAAGGTGTGTATGATAATGCAATCCTCAATATCTTGAAGAATATAATTCAAATACAAAAATAAATGGTGCATATAATGTTAGTATTCCATATTGATTTAATAACATACTAGGGTTTGAACCAATCAAAAGCGTGGTTCACTCATTACTCAAAGCGATATCAGTGAGCATATATTTATTACCAGGTAACCAAAACAACAAAAGCTTTCTATTACAAATATCGATAGATCTGTCGAAACATGTGTGATTGCCTGCAATTTTGGGAATATTAACACTTCGTTGTATGGTTTTCAGGTCGGCGTTCAGTGCAAGTGAGACTAGTTGAACCAGTCCCAGCATCACTAAACAAAGGCGACTGTTTTGTGTTAGTTACACCAAAGGCGCTGTATCTATGGCAAGGAGAATATGCTAATGTGATCGAGAAAGCGAAGGTAAGAAAAATTAAGAGTATACTAGACAAAGACATATAAAACAAGTACGAGAAGATCTATTGAATGTCTCAACCACCATCTTGCTTGTATTTACATTTCACTATCTACAAATTTCAGGCAGGTGAAGTTGCTCAGACGATCCAAGCTAAGAAAGATCTTGGATGTAAAGCAGGTGCTATTACAATGATAGACGAAGAGAAAGGAGAGTTTATGGGACAGTACAGAGCTTGGAGGAACTTCTTTGAAACCATTGGAGGCAGAGATAAATATGGAGGCAAGAATTAGCCCTAATTAATCATATTTCATTGTGCTCTTTTTTGAATCATTAATTGCTCATTTTAGTCCCATCCCAAACTAGGGGATTGGCCTTCGTTTATTATTACCGGTATAACACTGAAATTGTGTTGAAGGCTGGCAGTCATGGCGAGTGCAATGACTGCCTTTCAAATAAATACTGTCAGCACTTCACATGTGTGTATTTCTAAAGATTTATTATTGTTCTGCTGTTTTCTGGTTAGTCTTCACCTGCATTGCACACACTACACACAGTTCAAAACAATGATCAGACCAGGGCTCACAGTTATAACAGTATTTTATTGTCACAAACAAATCTAAACAATGGCCATGCATGCTATGTAATATTGGACAATTGACTAGCTTGCCTATGAATGTGCAACTGGTTTTCAGCACGTCTCTTACATGTAAAACTGGTCGTTAACAATATGTAAACATTCATTGTTGTGCGAGACCTCCCTATGTACATGTGAAGTTCTGATGACAGTATCACCAGTATGAGTATGTAACAGCTCAATTTGCTATTATTTTGTTATTAAATTTCTTTCTTTTCTATTTAAAATATCAGATGCTGGACCCCCAGAGGAAGATGAGGATTACGAGGTGTTTTTGACGGAAGCCAATATGATGTACACTGTGACAGATGACTCCCTAGTACCAATAGAAGAATACTGGGGGGTTTCCCCTAAAGTAGCAATGTTAGATTCCACTCAGGTAAGCTCAGGTTACTTTAAAAGCACAATTATTTTGTGAGCTTAATTTTGTATTTTGTTTTTAAAGACAATCTATATTGTTTTGAGACCATCTCAATTAGCAATGTTTCAAATACCACCTCATCAAGATATTATGACCACCTAAGATGGTTATTAATGACCACCTAAAATTGTTTAGTGTTAATGACCATCTAAGTTAGTTATCAATGACCACCTGAGATAGTTCAGTGATAAAGGCCACCTAAGTTAGTTATCAATAGCCACCTAAGATGGTTTGGTGTTAAAGACCAACTAGTAATTTAGTTACCAATGGCCACCTAAGATACTGTAAAATACTGTATTTTCACTTGGAATTAATTTTCGCTGTTTTCGCTGAAGGAATGATTCAGTGAAAATAAAATCCAGCGAATATATTCAGTGATAAAGTTAGTTAACCTAAGTTAGTTATAAATGACCACCTAAAATACTATAAATATATATACATTATTTCAGCTTGGATTAATTTTCGCTGATTTCTGATGAGTTGAATGTAAAATATAGGAAAAAAGGTGTATTTGCTGATTTTATTTCCACAAATTTTATCCCTTTAGTGAAAAATAATTTAAAATTACTTTGCTTTAATGTTGAAGACCAGTTATTTAAATTAGTTATGATATATTTATATCATTGGATAAGTCTTTGTTTTTGTTTTTTTCTTGCAGGTATTAGTGTTTGATTTTGGGAGTGAGTTGTACATATGGCAAGGAAGACAGTCATCGTTACCAGCACGCAAGATGGGTGTCAGATTAGCTAAGCAATTATGGGATACCGGATTTGATTATTCAGATTGTGAATATAATCCCTTCTATCCTATGGATCATAACAAACCAAAGAAAGGTCAACGACCACCATGGGCTCTTTTTGCTAAGGTAAGTAATCTATAGAGGGCGGTGTGTACAATTTTTGAGTCTTGTCCATGGATTTTTTTACACCTAATTTGTTATTTCTCTTCACAAGGTGAATGAAAGAGTGGAGACCGTCTTATTCCGGAGTAAATTTCAAGATTGGCCAGATGATTCCCGGATAATTAAAGTTAAAGGGCCAGAAACTGAAGAACAAAAGGTATCTTTTTTTTCTCCAGATATAAAGTACCAATATCTGTGTATAGGTTTAGAGGTAGCGATTGTTTTTTAAGCTTGGCACGATATAATCGTCTCTTTTTTTCACTGCCTGTCTTGCACATAACTATCCGTCTGTACAGCTCACTCTGATGCTTGATTCTAGGGTGAAGTTATGGAATTGAAACCATACGATGCAAAAATGATGGCGACTCCAAACAAAGAGAAACCCTACCTGGTCTTAGAAGGTGTTAATGTTGGAAGAGGAACCGGTAAGCCTCTCCCCTTGTCAATGTAATGGCTCATTCCAATATATTTCACAGATTTACAGAATCAAATCCAGTGCTATGAGTAAAATAACCATTTTTTCCAGATATATTTCGTTCATATTTCCTATCTAACTAACATGCATTAGCATCCCTGTGTGACCCATGTCCCAGTGAGTGTTCCATGGAATCTATGTTTATTAATAACTAGTGTAGCACATGTTTGACCTAACCTTGACCCAGCTGTTACATGTATATATCTAGGTGCATGAAAATGATTTAGATTTGATTAGACATGATAATGATTACTAACATGTTTTTTTCTGCATGGAATGGCTGCCTGTCTCTAGGTTTGGACTGTAATGAGAGAAAGGATAAACAAATAGAAGGTGAAAATTGAAAATACAATCAAAACTTTGATGTCTATTCTATTTCTGTACTTTTTGTTTTTAATTTAAAAAAAGATTCTTTCTCACTGAAATATTCTTATTAGCAGAAGAGTTTATTTTAATTTATTTTTCTAGACTATGATTGGATAACAATTATGAGAAATGATTGCTCATTTGCATATATTTGCATAACAGTATTACTTGAAACAGGCTCGTTAAAATGAAATAGATTTGCATATATTCACCAAAGATCGTTGTGAATTTATGCTTACCATTTAAACTGAGTATCTCATATTTGTGAAATAAAAATGGCTGTCAATCGTTAAATGAATAATGCTAATCACTAATTTGCATATATTTAAATAAGGATGACTACCAGTTTATGCAAATTAGTTATTCTATTTTAAGCATGTTTACTCATTTGCATATATTGACAATTGAGGTTGAGACAGTATCAATAAAAATATTCCAAAATTATAAGATAGGTATATTTTGTGAGAAAGATTCTAATTTCTGTTTCTCATAGGTAGTAGTAGTCTTTCCTGTTTGCCTGCATGTTTCTGTCTTCCTTCCTACTCGCTATGGATTATGGGTAATCATGTGATGGTCACCAACAGAGAATGAATGCGTGTTTAGAGTACAGGATAAACACATTCACTTTAGAGTGAAATACAAGATTTAGAGGCATGATATCTGTATTTTTATCAAAAATAAATTCCTGTAATTGTGTAGCTTTGACTACAGGCACTGCATGCCTGTTAACTGGAATAAATATAGAGACAAATTGCTGACACGAAAACCCATAAATAGAAAAACGTATGCAACTTAGTATTTCATTTTGACTACAATAATATTGATGAAACATTTTCCATGAGTGATTTCTCTTCAAATCTTCTTCAAATATGTTTCTTTCAAACACCCTAGAGTGGAAATGAAATATTTTCATTTCATAGTTTAAAAACCGAAAGATTACCTTGTATCTTAAAATACTGCCAATGATGGCACTGCTTGTGACCTATGTTAAGGTCATTGAATACAGCTCATTGATTGGTTGTACAACCTTTACATTCACTTGCGTTATTTTGCATATATGTATGAACTTACCGCCAGATGAGCAGTCACACTACCTTAGTTTAGTCCTTGTTCACTCACTCCAAGGTGATATCTACAGTTTATAAAGTTTTGTAACTAAATTTCAAATAGTTTTAATCAACAAAACTGCACAATTGTGATCAACACTTATCAAATGGTTATGTCCAAAATTAAAAGTTAAAATTATCAATCTAAAGACATTAAAATTTGCAAAATCTGCACCAAAATGATATTCAAAGTGTCAGAAGTAGTAGAAATACATCAACAAAGTTGTGAAATATGCACATTAAATGTCTCACTGAATATTGTCTATTCATGATTACCATAAATCCATAGTTTAATTTTTGTTTCAGATTTCCAAATGTATTATTATTTTACTATTATTTCCTCTCCATATCTTCAGTGAGTCGCTGTAACTGTCTTTTTTCTTTCTTTATTATTTTATAAATATTTCAAATCAAGTTGTGATAAAATATGGCAAATTGATTTATTGTTACGATAATGAGTGTTTAAGATCAATGCCCCCATCAACATATTGGTGAATCTGAATAGAATTGCAGCGGCAATTGTTTTTACGGCAAGTCTGGGAAGTATTTGTGTATCAAGTTTGTAGCTTGTGAATTGACTGACAGTTTGTGTGTTTGCTAAACAGTTGGATTTCAAACTTGCTGAGATTGACACTGGTAGAGCGCACAACAATCCACTGGCACCATCAACTGTTCTTATTCACTAATAAACTGGCTCCAGTTTGTGTTGTCTGTTATACGAGTGGCAGTCCTAATACATAATAAAGTCATGATGTCTTGCATCGGCCATCAGCATTAACTGTAACACCACTCTACTAGTGTATTCTTCAAAATACACCAGTCTTCAGCAATTGCATCAAATTGATCTTTTCATAATCAAACCTTTTCTTTGGAATGTCTGGTGTCACGCATATAGGAGATCTCTTAGAAAAAATGTCAACGTGGATATGTCATTATCGATGACTTGTTCAGATCTAAAGCTGTCAGCCAATTCACAACAAGCTTGTCAACTTACTGCTCCACTACTTCCGAGATTTTGATTTAATATCTGTCAAACATTTATCTGGTAACATGTCCTCATTTTCCTACATTTATGTTTATTTATTTTCTATATAATTTTACATGTATCTTTTAAAAGTCAGTTGTTCTTCCCCTTGATTAGCATTTATGTTTATTTATTTTCTATATAATTTTACATGTATCTTTTAAAAGTCAGTTGTTCTTCCCCTTGATTAGCACTTTTTTTGAAAAAACTTTACCAAATTATATGTTTTTCAGGTTACTACGACAAAGTTGAAAGGCGTGGTACGGTGATTACGACACTGTCTGTTGTAACATGGCATGTTTTAGAATATGAACACAGTATAGTACCGAAGGAATCTTTTGGTCAATTCCATGAAGGTGACACATACGTAGTACGATGGCAGTTTAGGGTTGAAGCTGCTGGTAAGTAATGTATAATATTAATCAAATTGTTATATTTCGTTCACTGCGAGATCAAAAGTTATGCGTGAAATCAAATGTAAAAACAGGACAGACAAAGGTCATAGCGTCGTAGTTAAAAATTAAATCGTTTGATTTTTACGGCAGACATTCGGCATGTATCTTTCATGCAACTCACAAGATCTCGCAGTTAAATGCAAAATTATCTATTAGTTGTAAGTTATTTCTCGTGTCAATCTTCATAATTTCCAGGAGCGAACAGATGCAATGTATGTATTATTTTAACAAGAGTCTTGCTATGATTTTATTTTTTCAGACATGAAAGACCTAAAGGGGAATCTATCAAAGAGAGCAAAAGGTCATGGCAAAGAAAAATGTGCTTACTTCTTTTGGCAGGGATTAAAGAGTACTATTAATGAAAAAGGAGCTTCAGCACTGATGACTGTAGAGTTAGATGAAGAAAGAGGACCACAGGTGAGGATAACCATGGTGACAGGGTGATGGGGATAAAAGGTTCCCATAGGTGAGGATAACCATGGTGACAGGGTGATGGGAATAAAAGGTTCCCACAGGTGAGGATAACCATGGTGACCGGGTGATGGGAATAAAAGGTTCCCACAGGTGAGGATAACCATGGTGACAGGGTGATGGGAATAAAAAGTTCCCACAGGTGAGGATAACCATGGTGACAGGGTGATGGGAATAAAAAGTTCCCACAGGTGAGGATAACCATGGTGACAGGGTGATGGGAATAAAAAGTTCCCACAGGTGAGGATAACCATGGTGACAAGGTGATGGGAATAAAAAGTTCCCACAGGTGGGTTTGTACCCTCCATGACTAACCTTGGTAACAGATTGATGGGGGTAAAAGACACACAGATTCGTATGGAGTAGAGAGGATTTACAAAATCAGGCTGACATCCTAATCATGATTTCTTTTAGATTCGTGTCGTGCAAGGAAAAGAGTCTCCAGCTTTCCTTCAGTTATTCCAAGGTGCGATGGTCATCCATATTGGCAAGAGAGAAGAAGAGGACACCAATACGCAAGGTAACTAGTCAATGACCAATAGAGAACTTTGTTATCTAGTAGACTATTGTTCATAACTCAGTGTGTGTGTACAGTCAACTGAGGATTCTGTTCTTTGCTTGTTTTTTAGCTACATCATGTGATTTTATGTTTTGTACTTGTATGCTTTATCTTATATTTAGCACCTTATTTTTTCTGCAATCCTTCCAGTATAATTGACTAGTGAATTGTTCTGTAAATGTTGATGCAATAACATAGTCAATGTCAGTGGCGGCCATCTTGTATTAGTACCGGGTGTGTGGTATGTGATAAAGATTTTGAGTGAATTGAAGAAGTCGCACGAATTGCAAAATTTTCATTAGTGGAAGAACTGATTAGGGTTCAGCATTAGTGTAATACAGCCGTGTTGCATTTTTGAGTCTGGCAATCTATCTCGTTCATTTCGATGTTATGAGCATATTCACTGTGTTTTAATTTCACAATATTGTCAAGGAAACGATAAGTTTTATTGTTACGGTAATTTACATACACGTAGATTTAATTTTAATAGCGGATTTTACTTATCAGCGAAAATAGCAAAATTAAAACCCAGTGAATAATTAATGCATTTACACTACTTATTTATGAATCATTTTTATCACTTGGTTGCAGGGGCCTACAGACTTTACTGCGTTCGTTCAGAGGACCCAAGCGAAGGATTCCTCGTAGAAGTACCGTGTACTGTGCAATACCTTAGATCTAGAACAGCATTTATTCTGTTAAATCTAGAACACCTCAAGAGAAACAAAGCTGAAATTATTCTTTGGTTTGGTTCCAAAGCCTCTTCTGCGATCCGCAAAGTAGCGAAGGCCACAGCCAATCAACTCAAAGAAAGGTGAGACATACTTTTGAATATTTCACGAATTTTCTTTTGAAAGAAAAAGTTCTCAAGGTACTATGTTCCTTAATGTTGCCCTTAAGAAAAAATGGTTGACAGCAACATCAATAGGTCTGTTTCCATGGGGATATGGGTCATCATCAAAAGTCTGATGGATTGTTGTGAACACAATTTCCAGTATACTTTGTAATGCATGTTATTGTACTTTGACAGACGCCCGTTAGAATGCAGTTTAAGTAAAGAAGTTGAAGTGAAAATAACTGAAATGGAAGAAGGAGATGAGAGTACTTTATTCTGGAAAGCATTGGGAGAAAAGAGAAGCAAGAAATCAACTTATAACTGCCTTATAGACAGTGAGTATGCTGCCATCTGTGGTCAATTCGACTTTTCTTTTTCTTTGATGAAATTTTCTTTTTATTAAAGAACGGTGGTCGTTGCGCTACACATGTGCGATATTTTTGTTCATAAACATTGATTTTCCCATTATTCAATGTGCTCTTCTAATGGAAATCAAAATGGGCGTGACAATCACTAATTCCCGTCATTGACTCCTTCAATACCGTCCAATCATCTAAAAAATACCTAATTAAAGCTTGGTTGCGTCTCAGTTTGTACTATGTGATCTGCGCAACAGCCAAAGTCGCCATCTTTGTTTATACGAGACCCATATGTCTCGCGAATGCGTGGCGCGACAACTACCGCCATTTAACAATTTGGTCATGCAGTTCTATTTTTACATGTGATGGATTATCTGTCTGGTATGAAACAAAGAACATCACAACTATGAATGATATTCACCATTACGTGTCTTTTTTTATCTTTTCTTTTATCTAGCGCCCCTCACTTATGACTACTCTGCACGTTTATTTCACTTGACAAGTACATCTGGTGTGTTTGAAGCTATAGAAATCTTAAATCCGAGTAGATCAGATCGATTCATTTCTCCATTTCCGTTCTTGCAGTCCGATTTATACAACGTTTCACAACCTGGTGAGTTGCATCTTCATTGTTATTTGGATAATTCAGGGTTACCAGAGAAATCTTTGCCTGGTGTGTAATAAATGAGAAAGGCTGCATCAGTTAAACTAAATTTAAAAAAAAAAACTTTTTTTATTTGCAGCCCAATTTTTATTTGACAATCACACGGAGATGTACTTATGGCAAGGTTGGTGGCCGGAAGACAGAGATGAAGCCCATTATGGTACCGGCTCGGCCAAAATGAGATGGGATCAAGATAGGAAATTAGCCATGGAAACTGTAATGGATTACTGTCAAGGTGAGTGCCCTGGATTCCAGTCTGTACGGATCCAACCCTAATTCTCAGGGGCGGAGCTACATCACAGAACCTTCTACGTTGTTAAACTGCGCACCACTGTACCACGTATTTCTATGGGCTCTGTGTGAACTGCTGTGGAACGCCGGTTGAAGAATTGGTCAAGGAAACGGCATAAACTCAACGCTAAAGTAATCCTGAGCAATTAAATTCATACAACGAACCGCATAATTGCGTGAAATTAGTTTCGAACAGTCGGTCCGTTTGATTTATTGTGCGTTTGTCTTGCCAGACACCTGGTGCGTCGATTGCTTGTTGGCCGATATAACTGTAACAACAAACTGGCTACATTTTAAAAACAATCAGCGACGAAAAGGCGAAAGTTAATGAGACAAACCATTTTACTCAAAGAAGTGGTTCGAAATATACCGATAACTAAATCCTGTAATAAGCTGGAGCTGCCTGGCACCCGGGTCTGGCAACCCAGTCTGGCACCCGGGTCTGGCAACCCAGTCTGGCACCCATTTGAGTTCAGGAAGTGGAAGTTTCACTGAACACGCGTTGAGGCACACAATGAGCGTTGTTGTGAAAAGCATTTGTGTGTGTGAAATAGTCTGGAGAATTTGTTTTAACAAAATAAAGGTGTTTAGAGCCACCACCGTTGTCTTTAATAATCAGCTTTGAAAATTTCTGTATTATATATGCTCTGCCGTTGAGCAAATTACACCAGCTGACACTAGATCATTCTTCAGTGCAACAGGATATCTATTTGTTTAGCTCAGAAACTGTACAAAACGGCCCTTTTTATGGCCACCACATCCTCCAGAGAGATATACCGTGTTTTAACGAGTGTAACAGTTTTATTTAGCTGTGGGTCTGTTGCTCTTTTTGTGTCGGTTATTAGTCTTTGTGGTGGTTTTTTTAGTTGGTGTCATCAAATTTGTTATTTTCAGACATTAGGATTTTTATCGACACAGAAGAGCTATGCCCCCTATAAACTAGACTTCTTTTTGTTTCAATTTAGTCTTTTTAATGTGATCGCGAAAACTAGCGTGACTGCGAGAGAAATCACGACTGGACGCATCTGCAGGCGAAGTAGTTTTAACGATCACGCTAAAAGGACTAAAAGAACATTTAATTATTTTTTTTTTTAAAACAAAAGAGGTCCTGACTTTGCCAGTCTAGGTTAATCTTGTATCGGTAATGCTGTTCAGGGGAGTCTCAACAACTATCCGAAAGTACCGTTCTCTGAGAGTTTTCAGCCTGTTTTTACTGTGATTGTTTCCAGGCGGTGAAAATGAGCGCCCCAAGAATATGGTAGAATTCATGCGATGCTGTCATTGTTACTGCACATGTGCGTTTACATAGGAACAGTGTTCAGAAAACTGGTGTACATTTGAATAAAAGATAACTTTAGTTTTCACACATTTCACTACAAATCTAAATCACGATAATTATACCATAATTGTATTTTTTTTGCTCACAGAGAAATCTTCTAAAAAGCCAGTTAAAGCTTATATAGTCGACGCTGGACTAGAACCAATGACATTTACAAATTTGTTCCCTTACTGGCATCATCCCAAAGAAGTGGAAGAACTGAACAGAAAGGTAATAACATTCTTTCAATGTTTAACTTATTTTTACGGATCCTACTAATTAACGTGCGAACATGCGTGGGGACAAACGAGGAAAAATACCTAACGAGCGGGGCAGCAATCCTTGGCAAATTGTGGCAAATTCTAGCAGCTATTCACACTTTTTAGAATCGATGCCTGGGCATTTCGGCGAGTCGAGTCCTCATGTTGTTTCGTAATGATAATGAAGTGGCAAGGTATAATGTTTACAATGCTGAGTGCTGTTGGCATCATTGTCATTTGTTATGGCCAGGATAATGGTATGATCACCAGTACAGCCATCATTATTACTTAACCTCAGTATCAGAGAATTTACCAATGATGTATGTTTATTTGTAGGAGGGTAAGACTGGTGATGTTTTGTTAGTCAAGGACGTCCTAGCACAGTTGACCAAATCAAGATATACATTGGAGGAATTAAAAGTGCGCCCTCTACCAGAAGGTGTAGATCCATCTAAACTTGAAGCATACCTATCAGATGAAGAATTCCAGGTAATCAATGGACCGTTTTCCGTTCATCCTGAGATTCTGTGTTATACTTGAAATCAAATGTAAAAACAAGACATAGCGTAGTAGTGACGTTAAAACATCGCAAGAGACTCACAAATGTGAAAACGTTTATGCGTATATTTTCGCAATTATTACTGTTCTTTACACATTCGATGATGATCAATTTTGATGATAGAGGGCAGTTTAACACAATATTCCACTCTCAAGGTTCAGCATTGAAATATAAAAACAAAATTTGAATTCAAAATTAAATTGTTAAATTTTTGCAGCTGACGTTTGGTCTGCGTCTTTCACGCAATTAGCGTGATCTTGTAGTAAGCAAAAATCATCTATTATCTGCTTATTCTCAAAATACC